TGGAATTTTATTTCGTTTTCGGGTTCTATAATTCAAATCTGACTTTTAAGTTTTACCGGATCGGGTAAGGGTTAATTACCCACTTGGTAACGGCCGCAATAGTTATTGACTGTTGTGAAAACACCTAGCCTAACTTGTTCGTGTCCCACAAACCTACTGCCAACAAACTGGATTAGTTCTACCGGTTCGGATGGTTTTCCGTCATAATTCACGTAAGCACACTTTACAAAAAAGACTAAACGCTCAACGTTGGCTACTCCTGGTGAGCGCCATGAATTTTCCTTCCAGTCAAGATCGTAGTGTACTTTGAATGAGTATGAAGTCTAAACAATCCGTTTGAGCCCTAACCTATGCACAAGGCTATAGTTTTTATCATCTCAAGCGAATCTGATATCAATAAGCAGTTCTGGGAGGTTGAAAATATTGTTATAGGCTAAATAGGATCGATCCTTCGACCGTTTGAATGACAGTGGCGCCAATTACCACTTGATCATGTACTGATTCCTCAGAAAAGAATAAATACTCAGTCATTCCTTGAAGATAATGAGTTTGCCGTAACTCTGGCCAAAAAAATTTTTAGTGGATCCCATAATTGTATACAGTGATATCACAGTAAAAACGAAAATGTATCAGAATTCAGCGAAAATAGAGCGATGAAAAAAGCGATTTTCCGATTTTTCGGAGAAAGGATACTCGTAATGGAGGTTCCTAGGAAAAAAACCAAGAAAGTATGAGTGGGCGTCGTGTTGGGATAGGGCGGTGAGAAAAACTGAGTCATACAGTCGTCAACCCTACGATTTATGTGCGTGTGTATGTCTACCGCAGAGCGATCGGGTGCGCGTTAATGGGGGGACCAGTACAAAAGGCCCGATAGGCTATGGTCAACACAATCGATGATCGATCTATGCGAAATTGTAATTGGTGATCAATAATGTAGAGAACCGACGTAATCCTAAAAGCTCCTAGCAGTCAAAACAGAAAAACATCCGAAAATCCTAGGTAAATCATTTCAATAGGAATCAGAATACGGTAAACCAATACGGTATGGATTCCTCGGCCTAATTGTAAGAACAACTGTTCAAACTCGACAGGACGATTGGTGATTCGTTATTTTTTCATCGAAAGAGTTTTTTTAGGAACAATTTGATTCAGCGATGTATAGGATCAGATACTGTACCTTTGAGCTCTGCTGTTTGTCAACAACGAAGGGATACGGTAGTTTTGAAGAAGAGTCTATATGAGGTAATGAGGTGGAACTACATAGGTAGCAATCAATAAGCAGCAACTGGGCTACAAGAGTTATTACCCGCATGAGAGTTGCTTCACGTCCTGGGAAAAGTACTTAGAAGGCAGGAAATGAAAATTTCCTCTTGAGAGAGCTCGAGGTGGCGAATAAAACGAAGGCGAATAGTCTGAATGATGTCTGGACAAGACGTTGAGATTACAGACGGCATGAATGGGAAATCCGGTTCAGGGATTTCATCTACAGACACAACATACATCTTGAATCAAACAGAAACAAGTTTTCATACATTTGGAGAGGTGTTTAAAAGTCGTGGAGAGGGCTGTTTGGGGAGCGAAAATGGGAGATGAGAATAGGCAGTACAGTACCCGGTTCAGTCAACGACTTCCCTTATAGATACTTGGGTTGGCGCCCTTCTTCTAATGAGAAATCGTCGGCGGTCAGAAGTCGAGTGGTTGTGAAAGTGGTCGTCATCAAAGGCTGAATAGGAACTCGTTTGGTTTAGAACGAGCGCGAACTTGAAGGAACCAATGCAGTGAGTCGGAGCGGTCATTTTGAGTGAAGAGACTAGAAGGAGGAGGTTGGTAGAGGTTGTGGATGGGCGGATAGAGTGAATTGAGTGAACCAGTCCTCTGAGGTCTGAATAGTGGATTCCGAAACTGTCGTCCAAGTGACTGAGAGAAAAGGGTCGCTGCTTGCGACTTCTGAATGCCTCCCGAATGCAATTATCCTGCACCGGTCTGGATCTCCTCCATCACATTTCGGCCGTTTTTTCACCTGTGCCCGATCCGTTAATTCTAACAGATCCGCTATATTAAGGATGTCATAATTAAGCTTGTTCCGTTCCTAGCGAATAACGAAAAGGCTTAGATCGTAAAGGGGTTTAAGGGTGAAGAAAAGTTATGCGGGTAATCGAAGTGGATGAAAGTCGGCTTGAGATCGTCAAGGGCAAGCCACTAATGGGACGACAAAGAAGGAAGGTAATGTAGCGGAATGTGACCCTTGTGTCACCTCTTGACTCATTGGCCTGGAAATTTGCATAGTAGACAGAGAGCGCGGTTGTGAAGAAGGTCACAGGTAATTGCGGGACCATCCATAAAAAGGTCCCGAATATAGACAGAGAGTACAGGTAAGAAGTGGAGACGCAAATGGACATCCCGCTTCTTTCTTGGATGCATAATAAATGGGTGCAAAGGAAAACAAACGAAAAATCGCCTCCTCGAACGAGGTGATCTGTGCTGCGCGTGGATGCGCCATGCTTTTGAGTGCTACATGAAATATTCAATGAGTTCTGCAGGCCTGTAGTGATGCTCTCTAAGAATGAGTAGTCCACTGACACGCTACCCGCTTACAATTATGGAAAGCAATGAATCGGTGTTAACTGAATGTTCAATTCTTCCCATCCCAGATTTTGCATGAGGTTATCATTCCACCCACATAGGTGTTCCTCCTCTCCGGAGGCTTTGTTGTAAAGTTATATTCCTCATTATACCCTTTCCCTGAAATTATTATGTGGCTAAGAACCTTGAAAAGCACCATTACATGGCCGCAAAGACCACTACCCCTCCTTTCTGCGCTCTAGCGCCCAGTCCGCTTATGGACCCTAGCTCAGTTCGCAGCAAGTCAAATGCATACCGTAGTCCCCTTTACTGAAACAGACGTGAAGTCTGCGCACTGGCCGTGAACCTGATGAGTGCGCTATGAATGTCGCCTCTGCCTAGACCACATGATCCTCGCGTTTTTGCGAAGATTTGGGCAGTTGCGTTTTAGATTAGTTTCATTTGAGGCTCTCCAGGTAAGTACTAATGAGGAATATACGTGTAGTGCTTGCCAGTTACTCTTGGATTTGGTTCGTATTTTCGTTGTGTTCCTTTTTCTGTCGTTTATTTGCCTTTGTTCAATAGATTCCGATAACGTTGTTATCTTCAGAGCAAGTTGAACTGTCATAAAGTAGTTTAGTTGTTTGTGGTGATTCTGGTAATCATAACACTACTCGGAATCAGTATTGGCTACCTTGGAATGAAAAATAAGTATCAGAAAGTGTTTCTAAGCTAACTCTTCCTCTACCTGAGCGCAGCAGCTGAAGCGATCTCACTTTAGATGTTTGGAGAGCTTTAAAAGTTGGAAACGAAATGATTCCATTCCAAAATCCTCACTCTCCAGTGACGATCGCAATTATCGATCTGGGCTTTTACTTGCTGGTCTACAGTCTGACGTGCGAGTGTGGAGTGGTCATGAATTTATGGGTCTCTTGGTTTTTGATAATTACTTGTGAGTATTAAATCACTGTTTGAGTCACCGAGTATTATTGAGCCCTCTTCCTTCGCTTTCCTCGCCAGCTCATTTGTCATTATGTAGATGGGATGGACTCTCTGTAGACTTAAATTTATTTGAGCGATTAAAATCTCATGGCTGTATATTACCTTTTAATGTGAAAGATCCCAACAACATTATGGTCTAGAGAAACTTCGAGAAAAAATTTAATGTTGGTCCTTCATGCTCAATTACCGTCATCGGTCAGTCTCGTGTTTGTACCCTGCGTTATTCGGACGGAAGGTTGCGGCGATGTGAACGTAGCCATCAGCAGTCGACTTCCATTTTCAACTTGTAATTCTGATTCCTCAACTTTTCCGCCCTTGAAGTCCGTAGACAAACATTACTGCTGTTTTTTCCAAAGTCGCCATCTGACTCTTGTAAGCAATCGGCTCAGCAACCAGGCAAGAATCACGTGTGCCTTGACGGTGGTCTGGTTCCTTCCTGGAAGGCAAGAGAGGATTGAGGCGATCCTTCACTCTAACCCTTTAAACATGATTCTCCAATAGATTGGTTAAATGTTGTGGTGGAGATGAATTGGTTTAGGTATATAGTTGCTCGTGCCTGCCACCGTATGCTTTTTTGATTTAGTTTCACCTTAGTTGGAGTTTTCAAAGTGACCTTATTCGTTCCAATTTCACTACTAGTTTGTTTTCAGGTAATTACTGAACCGCCAGTATGCTTTTAAAGAGGTTCGGTGCAGCCGCCAGGAGGATGACCCAGGCGGTACGTATTTTCATTATGTTCTGAGGGAGACGTACTATGAAAGACTTCTTTTACAGGCCATCTGGAAGATCCTCCACAGAAAGCCATCGATGTACCGCTTAGTCAAACCGCTATTCAAAGCTTCCTTCAAACTGGATGTTGTCGTTGGAAGAACCGCTTTACCTCTTGCAAGAAATCCTATCTATAGAGCGGTAAATGTCTTTTAAGGCTGTTCAGGTTTTTCTATTAACAACGCTTGCGCCTTTCTTTCAGGTTCAACTTCTACTAAGAAATGGAAGAGCGTTCCGACCACTTTCATCACTTGCTATTCATCATCGCCGGCTGCACCACGACAGCATCCACTTGCAGCGGTTCAATGCTTTTTCTATAAGGAAGCGTGATACGTTTGGCGTTGTAGAACGCATTAGAGTGAGTTTTTTTCTTCTAACCGCCAGAATCGCTGCATTTTGAAAAGTTCGGGCGCCGTTACTCATCCGAACTTGATTTTCTGAGGTTATGTGGTGGAGTGACAATGAACGTGTATTAAGAAATTGGTTTTGAAATGGTACTTCTCGCACCTCTACTATTGCTTTTGTTTGAGACTTGCGATAGAATAGAAAACGGAAACTTACAGAAAAACAAACAGAAGTACGGATTTCGGACAAGTTTTGCGATGATAATCTTCTGTTACAGTCTTTTTTAGTCACCTTTTTCTCATAAAGTACAAGGAATTGCTCGTATGCGCAAAATTTCACGATTAAACCGAATTTCACAGCTTTTCAGTGATGGAAATGGAAAAAATGAATCGAAAGATGGAGAACCCTTCGTTGACGATACCGTTTTAAATTTTTTATCACTTTCTGAGCAGAACAGCTGTGAACCAAAATTTGGAACTGATAAGGGTAGCAGTTTCCTTATTATCAGTGTTGATCAACAACACATCGCTGCNATTGCTCGTATGCGCAAAATTTCACGATTCAACCGAATTTCACAGCTTTTCAGTAATGGAAATGGAAAAATGAATCGAAAGATGGAGAACCATTTGTTGACGATACCGTTTTAAATTTTTTATCATTTTCTGAGCAGAACAGCTGTGAACCAAAATTTGGAACTGATAAGGGTAGCAGTTTCCTTATTATCAGTGTTGATCAACAACACATCGCTGCTGTAGGTGGTCAGATTGATGAAGTGGGAATCTGAGAATTGATTCAGCCAAAAAGAGTAAAACCTTGTTTGAATCAGTTTCAGTGGATCGCTTTTTTATCTTGGTCTTTTTAAATATCGTATATTCTCAAATTCAGTCATCTAACTAAAGTTTAGTAGGCGGATCAGTTGCCATGAATATTCTACAGCTTCACTGTCACTTTTTAACGCGATAAGTGCATACAATGCGTACATTAGGAGGTCCACAGGAGTCATAGACATTTCAGTTTCTGAACTAACAAGGCTTCACTTCAGCTTGACCTTATCTTCATAATAGAGGGTTTCGAGAAGAAGCTAAGTTAATAGAAATGATTAATGTGGAATGGATTATTCTAGAACAATGGGGGGTCAGTTGAACATATAGTGAAGTAAACACAAACAATGCCTTTAGGATGTGTTTTCTACAAATGTTCGCTATAATGCTGACTTGACGAGAACGACACTTCCAAATAATATCGACGCATATGAGATAGGTTTGTTCGCACAAATTGTCTACTGCGCGCTATCTTGTTCAATTTTCTCAGGGATATACCTTCCAGGTCAGAATATTGGATATGGCTGTAACGCTGCAGTCTATGCCTTGAAAGTTCGCGATAATAAAAATCCAAGCACTTCTTCAAGTGTGGGTGATATCGCGCGTTCCGAAAATGCTTACTCAATACAGGTTGGATCTAGTTCTTTCTAGATTAGGGTTTTTCAAGAGTTCTTACTGACGTTCATATCCATTACAGAAATATCCGCTTGCGCTAAAGTTAATGTATAATTTTGCCCTCGATTTGTGCCCTCGACTTGGAGACAACTTCTTGTGGCGCTCTATGGGTGCTGAACTTGTGCCATTACCAGAAAGCGCTAACATCCTGAATGGGAAGATGGGCAGGTTTGTACAACTGTGATTCTCATACGAATTCGCTCTAAACTTTTGCAGTCACGCTTTTTCTATAGATATCGACCTCTACCTGCTTTTCATCCAAACGTTGTTCGTGTATTGACCGCATTTGTCGACCGTATGCCGATTTTGGATGATGCTAAACTTGTCTACCCGGATGCTCTTCCATCTGCTCCTTTCTATGAAATGCTTATTAATGAGCCCAGAACCATGTTTGTTGTGATGAAAAGGTAAATCCTTTCTAGCTTTTTGTTGCTTGTTTTCGGAATGTGCTACAAAGCCAATGGATTTCAACTCTGGAGAGTAGCAACTTGCGATTAGCAATTAGCCAAATTGATTTGAAGGCTATTTGACGATCTCTTCAGATATCGCATGACGTTGCGGGAATATGTCAAGGATTTTCGCAGAAAACGCAGCTATCATGTTGCTCGGATATTATTTGGCCAATTACTGGAAGGATGTGTATTTCTTTACGAGAACGTCGTTTCCCAACGAGATATGAAGAGTGACAATATATTACTAGAATTCGATAATCCCGGTATCGATTTTTGTCAAATTATTTGAGTTTGAGAAATTTGAGTTCTTTCTGTTCAAGATGACGTCCCTCACCTTGTTATATCGGATTTTGGATGCGCTCTGGCAACAGGTAGTTGGGTGGTGAAGTATGTGGACGACACGATCGATCTTGGAGGAAACACAAAAACCAGAGCGCCTGAAATCATTTTGGCGCAGCCAGGGCCTGACAGGTAAGGCGACATAACAAACCTTTTCACCACTTTTAGTAAGTTTGGAAAAATTCGCCGATGATGATGAATTTTTTCAGTTTCGTCGATTTCCGCATGGCAGATACGTGGGCTGTTGGGACTCTTGCGTACGAAATATTCACTAGGTGAGTTTCTTTGAACATTTGTTTTTATTTTGCAATGCTGCGGTTGAAATTCTGAGGTTTTTGAATATTAATGGAAGTTCGTATCAATGTCAGCTTTATTTCAACATGAAATTATTTTTATTTTTAAACTAACTTGAAATCTTGAACTGGAGCTGTAAGATCTTTTATATGTAAAACTACATAGAGTTCATTCTAGAGTGAATCCCTTCTACACTCGTTTGAGCAGCGCCAATTATAAAGAAGAGGACCTACCAAATTTGTCTCCCTTCATTACGAAACCGGTTCGTGACGTCGTTCACGATCTCTTACGAAGGAATCCAGCAGAGGTAAGAAACCAAAATTTTGTAATATTTGCAAAATCATCACATTCATCATCTTTTTAGAGACTTTTGCCACACATCGCTGCAAATGTTATTTCATTATCTCTTCTGCGGCTCGGTGGTGATTTCCAATCATTCTTTTCATCATCTGGCCTGAATACTGTAATAAATGTTCAAACCATACGTAATGCTCTCAACACATCCTTGAAAAAGGTCTGTCTGTCAGCTTATTAATCTCTGTGTGTTGTGCTTCATTAAAGTTTTTGTAATAGTTTGCCATCAACGCTGAGAAGATCCTGGATGATGTCCTTTTCCTTATATCTGCTGAAACGATAGCATCTCGCTCGTCAACATCCGGTGTTATAAGTCGTGCAGAACAACAGGTGAATTTCACTGCTACCAATTTTTCTATTTGAGCGAACGATTGCGAAACACTACTATTAGGTTGGAAGGAAAGTCCTGCGACACAATGAAGGTCTCCTTCAAATCACTTCTGAAATTTTCCAGGCCAATCAATTTTCGGAAATATATTTACCAAAGAGGTCAACAACCTTTATCCTTTGAGTAAATCACTGATGCCTTTTATCCAGGAGTGAGGAAGCTGTGACTCAAAGAAGTAATTGACTGCCGTTTTCAGAACACATTAAGTTACGAATTTTTTTCCCACAACGGGATGCTCAGGAAGGCGGAGCGCATGGTAGGTAAAAGGGGCAACACTTGGGGAGTACGGCTGATGAACAACCTGGAACCAGTTGGAATCGTAGAACTCTTGACGCGTGTTTAAAGCGAAATTTCGACGTTGTGGACCCTCTGTATGGACCTGATTTACGGTTTTGATCGTCCTTTTCTAATCCGCTGCCCAAATTTCGGGGTCATAGGGGTAACCGATAGCTGTGTCCATCTAGTCTGCGTTTAGCAACTCGTAGTGTATGGATCCCTTCAACCTCCATTAAATTGAGGGACGATGCTTGCGTGACTTCGAAGGCTAGTATCTCCTCCAGTGAAGCGATCCAACCGATTGTTGACCGTTGATCGGTGAGCAGTGCCAGCATTGAATAGGTTGCTGATAATTTGAGCCGCTACACCTGCGTTTTTCCCTTGGCGTGCTTAGTAGAAGGTGATGACACGAATCGGGTGTTGTCCATTTATTGACCGCAATTCTGCTAAAGCCCACACGCGTGCTCTAATTTACTCATGTGTTGATTACCTGAGGAATGTCCTACAAGTTTATCCCTCTTGCTACCGTTCACACTGTTGATACAAATTGCTGACGCCTCAAAATTTTTGTCGCAGGTTCCAACCTAATAATAGAACTTGAAATAATGTTACTTTTGTTAGTAAAGTTCATTGGTTGCAATCGAAAGGCTGATGACTCTCCGTTAGTGTTTCGTTGGTAGTCTAGAGCCTTCTTAATCGAAATCACGCTGTCTGCTTGTTACAGTCCCTTACTACCATTTTTCTGTCGTATTTCATAATTTTTTTTTTCGTGTTTTTTTTTTTTGAGAATTTCCACGACTCCTTTGATCTTTTGGCTCCTTTGTTTCTTAGGTCTCCGTTCAGACTACCCATGTGCTTCAAAAAAAAATGTGTAAACAGTTTTTTTTTTTGGAACAGTGGAACAGTTTTTGTATGTGCAGTACAGTGGCCTTCCGGTCTGCCCTTATTCAAGATCATTTAGCTCCGCGCTACATTTCTGTCTCGTCTTAATCGCGATCACATCTGGGAGGCAGTATCATACTTCCTTCCCAAATGCCCTGTCCAAGCTGAGAACGTTTTCGGAGACACTTGCGATACGTCGTTGGCTGCTGCCATAGGTAACGTTGCACTGAATAACAACAACGGCATCGTACATCGATATCAGCCAATGGTTCTCAGTTAATTCGATGTGTTGTGTTTTCTTTTTCATTTCCACAATGTAAATAATTGTAAAAGAAATTTAAGAGTCAGCAACATAACAACGCATCTACTCAAATCATCTCTTGCCTTAAATATTTATTCGTGTATGTAGTAATAATTACTCCGGAATATTTACGTTCATTTCTGAAAAGTTGCTGGCTGGTAGCAGAAGCAGTCTATATGCAAATCGATCATTTTCATTGTAAGTTCTTGGAAGAGCTTTTTTCATGTTGGTTAAGGTGTACAGCAGAAATGTGTTGGATGGAAGAGCTTGCAGCGTTGTTATTCATTATAATTTTCTAGTCATCTCCATCACTTGGTAGTGTTAATTGTAGTGTTTACAGTGTTCTCTTATCCATTAATAATTCCAATTTAGTCTCAATAGACGGTTATGTAGTTGTAACGGGTTACTCATTGCTCGATATTGTACAAATCTTCATTACGCCTTTGAATGTGTGCCGTGAATACATACACATATATATTGCATTTTGTAGTAAGCTTGAAAATTAAGCAGCGAAGCTGTTCTTGTTAATGAAGGTTGCTCAAGATATGTCATAAGAAAACTTTACGGTCATTTATCCAGTTGTACTGAAATTTATCGATATAGAAGTTTGTATAGCTGTGGAAAGTCGTACTGATATTCAAAAGTGAGGTTTTAGTTCGCGTATGAGCTATTACCAGCCGCTTATCCTTCGGCTGGAAATAAAGAACGGTTCAAATCAGATATCGTTTAACGAGTCATCTAAACTTGATGTCGGTATGTCACTGTCTTTTTTTTTGGACAAACTTATTGGTAAGCTTGTCATTTGGAAATGAAAGTCCGTTCAATTAGAGGGTAAGTTAAGTGTGCCATTTTCCGGCCAAAAGTTTCCCTGCTGGTATCACATACCGTGTTGGGCGGCATCATGAGGATGCACATAGTTTTTGCAGGAAATTTCGTTTTTTGTGGATAATGAGCAAGTCTATCTAAGCATGGACATTTTGTGAAGGTTGCTGTGCGAGAGGTTTTTTTCCAGTGTTTGCCTTGGTTGCAGAGAAACAAGTTTTTATACAGTAAGAATAGGCCAAAGACAGGGACAAAGTGTTGAATGCTAGCGTATTTTGTTTAGGGGAACATTCTGTAGTGACTAGACTGACACGTTTGTAAATACCCTGGAATACCCGGTTTTGAACTTTTTGTGAATGTTTATTTTATCGTTGTTACAGAACAGTCTCCGTCGACTATAGAGAGGAATAGAAGACGCATAATGTCTGGACTCAAAAAACGAAGTCCTCCTGTGGGAGTCAGCAGCAGAAATGATGCCGCAGATGATGCCCCACTAGCTCCAACGACAGTCGACAAGCATAGTTCCCATGTAAGATTTACTTTTATAATCTTTTTCCTTTCTGCGTTTGAAGTATCCTTTTGTACAAAACCGATGCTTCGTACCATCTTGGTAATTTAATGGAGAGACTAGATCTGGGCTTTTCTTCACAATTAGTCACAGTATCTGGTGATTTCTAGTCATCTTGTTGCATATGCATCTAGTACTGGATTTCATAGATTTATCGGGACATGCCTTTTCATTTCAGGATATCGTGCAACCGCTTACTAATTTTCGAGGGCGTCGTACATATTCTGAAGTGGTTGTGGAGTCTTTAGATGGTGATAAATGTATAGATGGTACGAGTTCTACGTCCGACGCGGAACACCCCCAATCATCTCGACTCTCTAGAGCCGATTCTGACTTGCAGGGTTGGTCATTTTTGTTTTGATTTGTGCTTCTGAATACCTCCATGTCGATGGCTTTTTCGTGGAAACTTTTTACTATGTGAACGTGACTGCGTAATCAAGAATTCAACGATTTTTAGTTCCCGACACAGTGACCTACTACTATGGGAACCCCTTTGTTGAAAAAACGGAAGGCATTCTCCACTTCTTCAAGTATAAGTGAGTCTTTCGTAGCGCGTATTACTATCTTCTAAGCATTCGACCTAATTGTGTGAAAAATCAGTTGTTGTAATTTTTATCTTGCCATTTTCCCAGCGTGTATTTCGTTTATTATCTATATTCAGTGATGAACGCTTGGGTCGTGAAGTTCATTGCCGAATGTTGTGTATGCTTGCTGTACCATCGCAAATCACACTTAGAGAGATTCTTCTGTTCATAGGTACGATTAATTTAGCTTTTTGTTTTATCATTTTACAAGCTAAAGTGGTTTCAGGTCCTAATATGCAGACGATAGAACGATTAAAGATCATCAGGGATTCAACGCCGAACGAGTATATGATCATTTTGAAATTCAAAACTCACGTGAGTTCTTGGTGACACTATCGCTCTTCTTAAATGGAGTTGTTTTCGAAAACTAAGCTGTTTTCTGAACAAACCTCAAGGATTTAATCAGATGACTCTGAAATTAGAGCGGAAGCCTCTTAAGTTCGTAATGCCATAGTTCGTGAGGATTTAAGCTACATCAGATGCTACGATGTTGAAAAAAACGTTATTTACTTGAGCGTTTTTTTCGACGTCATTCATTTTCGCTTGGTTCACATTGTTCTGTTGCATTTGCGAAACCTTTGGTGAACTCAGCTGAGATTCCGTCCCTTTTTTTTCTGCTTGGCACGAGACAAAAGGCATTAGCTCTCGTCTAGCTTTCGTCCCCTATAAAAAATAAGCGACGAGTCACGTTGTCTCATCAGTTGAAATCTCGCAATTAATCACAGGCACATTGTCGTGCCTGGGCTGATATCGACTTTGAATTCGATCCCTGTGTTATTGATTGGTCATAGAGCGGCACATAGTGTCTCATCACTTTCGCCTAACTTGTGTCATTTTTAAAGAAAGAACTCTGCCAATTCTTACAGTCAAAGATGATATTGCGGAAGTGAGGGTTTTTCCGCTTATGATCACAAATTGCGAAGAATGGTGTGGATCAAGCAAAAAGTGGCAAAAGGCAATTGGTCATTATAAATCACGGTATTCCAGAACGATGCTGTCGTGTTTTACGACGAGTTTAATGGGACGCAATTCAATAGCTTGGAACCAAACCGGTGTAGGCTGCTATTTGTGGACAAGATTGAATGCGTACGTGTTGAAGAATTTGCTCTTAATCGTACAAATGGATGTATTTCTATATTTGCACATATTTACATGTATATGTATACATAGTTCCGTGCAAATGTTGGTGTATTTCACCGGCATTGTTTGCCCAGTGACTAATGCTGTATAAAAGGCTTGAATCTGTAAAGGGTGGGTCAGAAAATGCAGTATTACATCTATGGGTTAAAAATGCGTAGGATCAGGTAGGTGTCATGGATCTGTGGATAGTCCAATAAAAAAGTCTATTTTTATTCTGATTTTGTTTTGATAGCAATGAGTCTTTCGATCGCGGAGGGAAAAGAATCATTTATAGTGGATGTATGATTATCCTGGATGTAAAACGAACTAAGCATGGGTTTTATAGCTTGCTGAAATTATTAATGGATGTTTATTGAGTAACTTTTCCAAATATTTCAATAAAGTATTATGATAGGCGTCGGAGGACGAAGTGGCGACGTTATGCTCCAGTTCCGCGACTTCGAGTGATGGCGCAAGTTCATCAGCATGCCTGACTGAGCTACCTACTTGTGCTGTATGCCTGGAACGTATGGATGACAGCGTGGTTTCGATTCTCTGTAATCATACATTTCATGCCGGGTGTATTGAGCAGTGGACCGACACTACGTGAGTTTTTTTTTTTAATTTTCGAGTAAATCAATCGTGTACGAAAAGTGTGGTAAATAATAGTGCCTTCAAGAAATTGTTGTTATGACATAGGTGCCCAGTTTGCCGTTACATCCAAACTCCGGAGTTAGTAGCCGAACAACGTTGTTCAATTTGTGGGCAGAGCTCGGATTTGTGGATATGTTTGATTTGCGGAAATATCGGTTGTGGTCGCTACGCAGAGGGCCATGCCTATAGGTCAGATCAGATTAGGTCATTTTAGCTTTTCACGAATACGCAGTTGAAATTCAGGCACTTCGAGAATACCTCGCACACGTTTTGTCTACAAGTTGGAGGTCAGAGAGTGTGGGATTATGCTGGAGACAACTATGTACACCGACTCATACAATCAGACGTGGAAGGGAAAGTTGTGGAATATCAGAGAGGAGATCGTGAGGTATGATTTGCTGTGTTGTTTCGTTCTGTATGACTAGTCCCGACTCCTGCCCTAATCTTTGTATATGCGGACAAGCGACCGATATCTAAAGATCAACTCTAGGAGTGTTAGACAGTCGGTGTTTGAATGTTGTTAGTTGACTGATAATGAACAGGCGTTGTTTTCTACTTGTTCGAGGACAGCTATCAACATTAGGCATCATACTTTCGTTGAACAGTTGCGCCCGTTATACTTTTATCGTGGGGGTAGAGCTCGGAGGCTACTTATTTTTTAATTGAAGGCAGAATCGGATGAGAAGAAAGAAAAGTTAGATGGTATAAAATTGGAGTATACATGCTTATTGACTAGTCAACTGGAGAGTCAAAGAATGTATTTCGAGGTATGTTTCGGAGCTATTGTTGTGCCTTTCATATGGGGAAGTAGCTACATTCTAAGACAATCTATATAACCCTATCTTCCTTTTTTTAAGGCATACGTTTGCATCTTATGTGATGTCAATGGTAAAAAAGAGCCCTCTCCTAGTGGATTCCGATTTCCCTTCAATAAACTTTCTTAATATGACCTCTAGACCACATAATTTCATGAAAAACCCAATCGCGTTGGAAGATTTTCAGAATTGTCTGTGTTTAGAAAACCTCGGGTATTTTCACTTGTTTTTATTTACTTGTGCGGTTCCTTGATGCTTGAAGGTGTTTTTTCATGTTCTAGGCCCGCTTAGCTGACATGGAACGAGCTATGAACAATATGGAAAAGATGGCTCAAGCGCAGGTGAGAAATATTTTTTGCGAATTACGGTCATAGTGTCCTTTACAATATAATTTCAGATTGATGACTTAGAGGCGAAATTGTCACAGTCTACAAATGAATGTAAAGAATTGCGAAAGGAAGTGCAGGAGGCGGCGGCAACGAAACAGGCGAACGAAAAGAAACATTCTCAAACTGTCAACAAGCTTGCCAAGGTACTCACCAGCATCTCTAGAGTGCTTTCTTGAACTTCTGAATCATTCGCGGAACGTCAGCGAGGTTAATCCCACCTATGCCGAAAGCCTGGTCTCTCGCCCTCAGCCGTTCCCATTCCAGGGAGCCTTAAAATTGAAGCAAACTGATCACAGCGTCCCCGAAATAGAAGGGCCTTCAGCGTAGCCACACAATAGTTGTTCTTTAAAGTTAGCACCTTCCACTACTCATGGCCGACGGGACACTTAGTAAATTGCTCTTATTTGATGACGTAGATTCGTAACATTGCAAAGTTTTGCGTTCGTTTTTAGCTTTTTAGGAGCAATTGTATATTCAACGTACCCCTTCTGCAGACGTAATATTCTTGTCGTTCACTTGAATCTAGAAATTTTCTTTAGGTGACATCAGAGCTGAAAGCAGAGCAGGAAATTAACGAAATGCTCAGAGCAGATCAGCAGGTTTGGAAGTCGAAAGTTGTGGAACTGGAAAACAAATGTGCCACTAGTGAGCTGCAGTTTTCAAAGGTAATTGAAGCATCATCCTTTCTTCAGTTAGATCGGAAATTCTATCTGAAACCTGATTTCGAATGAGACCCTTGAAGTTTACATAATCGAATTGGGTTTTTCGCTATGACGAATGATCTCACATGACTGAAAACTGATTGATTCCGCTTTGGGAGACGTTGTAATCTTCTACATCAGAAGTGTCTAAAAAAGGTGCATGTCCTATGTATAAGCATCGTTTCATTCGGTCAGCATGCGATGTAAAGTTTCATTAAGCTATCTAATCGAGCTGTAGATGTAGTAAGAAGGGATCCACAGAACTTGCAGGCTTAATATCCTTCTTCGTTAGTTTTTCATGCAATTCGCTCTTATTTATTCACAGGCTTTTACGAGTGTGAGTGGAAGTTGAAAGCATAGTGTGTGCCAAGGAATTGATCAGATTCTGTAGTCTCTGGTTTGTTTGATAGCCGCATAACTGAACTCAATCTTACTGTAAGAGCTCAAAAAAGGTGCTGACCCATTTCAACTGGTGTTCATGCCGAGACGAGGCATTTGGGATCGAATCTTGATTAGGCTATATGTTTTCTTGACATATGTCCTGTGTTGACAGACATCTGATTTTGTCTCTGTAGTGACGATAAGGTTCAGCTCGATCGCTGTATCCAAATAAAGCCAACAAAGCATATAAAATAAGTCAGATTCCTGATTGTAATCTTGCTATGCGCCATGCCTTCAACTTTCATTTGCATTAGTAGAAGCATTTGAATACGTGCCCTTGACGAAACGGACAGTCAGTTGGAATTCGTTCCGAAGTTTTTTTTTCCTTTTCAAAACTTGTCCCAGTAAGTTTGTACAAATAGTTGCATATGACTAGCATTAGCAATCAGTATCGCTAGTTTTTTTACTCGTTTAATTTTTTTACTCATTTAAATTTACTTGGAAGATTGGGCACGAACTCAAGCAGGAATCCCTTCTCTATTTATTTATCACTTATTTACATAGCATATGTTCATGCATGTGAATCAGAAGGCCCGTCATTTTATTGAACGGTTCTAATTTGTTTCATTTGATTGAAATAATTACCATCTGTCAAAGAAAGCATTACATCCTTGTAATCATTTAAAGTTTTGTCCTTTGACACGTGCATATTTGACGAGATGTGACAACCAGGAACTTTTTATAAGGTCAACATTCAAATTTAAAACGATTTTTTCTTTTTCTGTGGAAGGTTTGCACTTCTTTGTCACGGAATACCGTTCGTTTTCTGCCCTTTAAATAGTATTAGCTACGGTTGAATAGTATTTGTTCAAGTTCAAGTTAAGTTTGAGTTTAAACTTAAATTTAATGCTCCTATGCGAGTGTGAAAGGATTAGTAAGGAAGGTCAAGTGTAATATTTGTCGGTAACAGACTATGTGTTCCGTTGAAAGTGATTTTTCGGACTTTGATTTGCATCTAGTCACTTTCTGTCAGAAAAAAGATTGATAATAAGGTGGGGTGGAACAGGATAGGTAGAAATTCAAGCTGATGTTCAAATTGTTTGGTAAGTAATTTATTAAACCCTCTTCCTCGTTATTTTACACATTCCTCCTCGAATTTCCCAATTTCCCATTTCAAATGAGTTCGTGCTGATGTGGTGCCGGTTGGGGCTTCATTGCATCCAAAATAGGAAAAGACAAGCCTCGTAGAAACGAAGAACTTCAGATCGAATGCCCCTCTTGATTAGGCTAATTGGTTGAGTAGTTACCAGAAAATATCGTTTTGAATGAAATGTGAATGGCTTTTCGGGTACGGTCAACGCGTTAAACTTTTTACCCTTTACTCTACTCACGTACTCACATTTACACTCCCTGAATGATGTTATAAGTTGATTTCCTCTTGAGTGCGTTCCATGCCCTTTATACGAAAGGTCAGTGGTTGACTCAGCCCTAATTCGAACGTTAGATCGAACTCGTTCACATGGTAGCTGATTGTTTTGCACTTTTTTAATGCCCTCCTTTTACTGCTAAGTAGTGACGGTTATATCTAGGTTATGAAAAAGTTACACTGATTTTGAATTAATTTGCAGTGACCAGTTTTTCGAGTCTTTTTTTCGGATTTTACCCGCGCACTAATTCTTAGTAGTTATTCTAAGAAGTCTAGAAGGCCAAATTTCAAAGCCCCTTATAGTGTACAGGCCGCTATGTTAGGCCTAACTTCCGTTGAAATTTCTTTGATAGCTTGGTTACTTCAGGAACTTAAGAAATGACCCAGTCGTTGAAGATAGTCTAGACCAATAAGTAGTTAAGGCCTAACTAGATGCGAACCTGACAACTGAAATAGGGGCATTGGAATCTGCTCTGATCGACTGTATGTCAACCCTGCCCTAGAACTTTCATTGACTGGAGTGGGAGTAGCAATCCTCTTCGGAATTATGACTTATGAGTTCGAGTAATAGGAGAAGATTATGCTCTAATGAGAATGTTTAAATAGGGAGAGAGTACGTGTGAACGCTCGATCATTTATTCAGTTGAAGATAGAGGAGCAGAGAATGCACTGATAGGGTTGGTAAGTAGCCTACCCCTCAGAAGAGGGGTCTAATATGAAGGGTCTCGAATAAATTGGGTCTGCATTCAGGAAAGCAGCAATGTCAAAGAATTGAATTAAAAGGCGAGAAGATGGAAGAAGATTGAATAAATGTCAATTCTTATTCCATTTAATTAAACCCAGTAGATGGTTGGCTTGATTGACGGCTTGAGATAGAGATTTGAACTTGCCAGCGAAGGAGGTGAACCCGACTCGATTTTGGTCCCCTCAACAATTTCGTGAATTAACTGTAACAACACTTTCATATTTTGCGATCACATGTGCTACTTTGTCCATTTAATGATACCATAAACGTCCTGAGAACTGGTATTATATTAAACTTATGAAAGTTATGTACCTGAGAATAGTGGTTTTCATTGCTGAAATGGAAAGGCGAAGAGTCAACAGAAAAAGACCACTTCGGCCACCGGTTGAAAA